TGTTCCAAAATTATACAGATTTCAGGAAATGACAAATAATGGAACGTTTAACCAGGGTTTTGGTTAACCATGTTTGATATCGGAACACAATCTAAATAAAATATTTGTAGGTACTGAAAAATTTGTAATGAGTTTTTATAAATTTTTATTTTATATAATATAAGTATTTATTTATGCTATAAAATGATTTTAACAAATTTATGCAAGTCACTCATATAGAATAGTGGTTATAGAAAATTCTATTTGAATAATATACAAATGAATGTCAATAATCTTCTATTGCAATTCATCAGGCACTAATCACTTTTTAAATTTACAAATTTTGGAACGTGCGTCACAACTATATAACGACGATGTGGTGAATAATTATTAATTTTGTTACCTACCATATCATGATAAACGATGAGAAGAAAATATGCTTAAACTTTTAAATTTTGCAACTAGATTTGTGAAATTTTTAATTGATGCCTGCCAAAACAATGTTTCTTTAAGGAGAAAAAAGTACTTTTTTGACGTTACGCCTTGTGAAATGACACATGAATTTCAATTTCAAAATTGTTAAAATTTACCGATGTCAATGNTCACTTTTTAAATTTACAAATTTTGGAACGTGCGTCACAACTATATAACGACGATGTGGTGAATAATTATTAATTTTGTTACCTACCATATCATGATAAACGATAAGAAGAAAATATGCTTAATCTTTTAAATTTTGCAACTAGATTTGTGAAATTTTTAATTGATGCCTGCCAAAACAATGTTTCTTTAAGGAGAAAAAAGTACTTTTTTGACGTTACGCCTTGTGAAATGACACATGAATTTCAATTTCAAAATTGTTAAAATTTACCGATGTCAATGAATGATGATTTCAGATAATTTAGGTAATAATAACACTTTATAAGTACATGAGTTTTTAAATTTCTGTTATCTTCAATTTCAACAAGTATTTATTCACAATAACATCGAAAATTGATAAGTTTTTATCCAATAACAAAATGGATCAAAAGGATGACTGCCGTGCGCCCTGCAAATACTCCGCCCCAAGAGTTGGTGGTGAGGGGTCGGCCGGCCCTGGATTCAGTTCAACGAAACCGATCGAGATGGAGACCAAGCCGTATTTAACTTCTGAAAGTTCTTGGCAAAATATTCAAGAATACTACAAGAAAAATGGCCAAAACCTTGTTATCAAAGATCTGTTTGCTCAAGATTCAGCCAGATATGATAAATACAGGTTAGTATACATTAATTCCTTTTATAATCTTATTTAACCGGTGCGACTTTTGTGACCTTTATTCGACCTTGATAAAAAATGTAAATTGTTATAAATTTTTGAAAATTTTAGATTAGTACCTACCATTAATTTAATATGTACAAAACGTAATTAAATAGGTACAAGCAAAATTAGTACGTACTTATGGATGTATTATCTGATGAGGATGTGTGCATGATGGTGAATGTATTGATTTAAAATTGAAATACTTAGTTAATAATTTAAATTTAAGTTTTTGTCAGAATTATCTTTTTCTCTCTGAACAACAGATTAGCAGTTTAATTGAACTAAATATACTCAAAAAATGTAAATTATAGAAGTTTAGATTACTATATAATCTATACAACAAAAGGCATGCATTTTAAATGAAAAATTTGTTATTAAAATGTAGTGAAAATTACTTGCAATTTTTTACCTATAATACAATTCCTAACATTTTCAAGAATTTTATAGTGAATATGCACGTTTATTTTGTTCAAATGATATTAAAAATTGAAGAAAATGTCACTTACATTATTTCTAATTTTGTATTGTTTTGATAATTTGTTTGGCAAATACCTCCTCCCAACGTTCAACAAGTTTCTCGATGCCTCTTCTGTAGAAATCATCCGGTTTTGACTTGATAAACTCATCCAACCAAGCTCTTAACTCATTGTTGTTAAAATAAACACTGCATAAGGAATTTGACAAAGAGCAGAAGAGGTGAAGAGGTGAAGGCGGATGGGGCATACCTTCCTAATTCAACTCTCGAATGGCTGTTTTGGTCATATTGGCGATATGTGGTCGCCATTGTCATGTTGCAAAAGAGAATCATATAGCCAATCACATCTTTTTTGTTGAATAGCCACGTGGAGTCGCCATAGTTGTTGGACATAGAATTCTGCGTTGACGGTTTGACTATTTGGTAACAGTTCATAATAAAGAATCCCTTTCTAATCCCTCCAGTCGCATAACATTCTCTTTAGAGAATGAAGTTCTGGTCTTGTTTGCGGAGTTGCTTGGTTTTTGGGGCTTATCCATTCTTTCCGCTGTTTCAAGTCCACATACAGACACCAATTTTCATCACCAGTATACGATGAAGAAAACGTTCCTTATGACCAGGTGTTGATCGACGATGAAAGAGCAAACTAGCAGCAATTGCAGAGCGTTGATTCTTATTGTTTTCGTTTAAAACATTTGGTACCCAAGCGTCAAGTCTTTGAACTTCTCCCATCAAATGCAGGTGGTTTACTACTGTTTTGTGATCACATCCCATCCCTTGAGCCAATTCCCTTGTTGATTGTCTTGAATTTTCGTGAAAGAGTCAATTTAATTGCTTTTTCTCAAATTCAACAGGGCATCATGACAAAAAGAAGCAATGGTCAATTTTATCAACTTGACATTTCATTTCAAATGAATACACAAAAATTAAATCTAACGAAGCATCCAAAAATATAGTCTGATCAAGCAATAAGACCTCTTTTGAATGTGAATTTGAGAAAGCATTTAATTTTCATGTGATTTGTTTAATTTGAAAAACAATCAAATTTAAATTAGATTATGAAATTTTACAAAATCATTTGTTATTAATTTTGTAAACGTGTTTTATTTTTTATCTGCTGACTAATAATAATACATAATAGTGTTTCCTTTGAAACTAAAATTATTGTAATTAAATTCTAATTTATATTCACACACCATTAAGTATATCTGATGTAATCAAGATAGAAATCATTTAAAATTTAAAGTACTTTTATTAACGTAATTTCGTGCTTCACACTCGTACTGATCTAGATAAAATCTCCACCATATTTAAAATTTCAGTTGATACTTATGTCAGTGCTGTTAAGTTGATAAATATCTTACAATAAAGTCTAGTTATGTAAATTTTGATTTAAAAAAATATTTATCTAATGTTTAAAATAATTAGAAAATTAAATTTAGTATAGGTACAGGATGTCACAATTTTTAGGTGTACATTCCATTAGTATAATAAAAAAATAAATACAACTCAAATGTTTTTGTATTAAATAATTCCTAAAGCTTAGTCTAGATCTACAAACCATGTTTTAATCAAATGCCCGATGCAAAAACAAAAAAAATATTTACCTTTGAATGAAAACAAATGTTAATTACCTATTTTTTTCTTGCCTTGTACGGAAGTGTAAGGGCTGAAGTAATTTGTCCACATCAGAAAACAGTATTCGTTTAAGTATTTCAGAGATATATTCTCAAGTGAAGCTGCTATATGAATTTTTTAAAGCTAGGTACCTCTGAATTTAAGGACAAGTAAAAGACTTGAGGATGACATTTTTCAAGATGGAGCACATCCTGAAAGTCTTTTGAGAAAATTGAAATTAAATTACGATGCTGTATTGAAAATTATTAATGTGTAATTAATATTAATTGAAAAAATTTTATAATTTTATTTGAAACCCTGTCTGAAGATTGATCGCTAAACCTGAAGTTTTCGAGTTAAAATGACATTCTTGACAACCCTAAAAAAAATAAATAAAAATAGATCAGCTTTAGTGAATAACTAGTTGTTTGCCGGCAATGTTTACATTTAAAACTTTTGTTTTTACACAAAACTTCACAAACAGTTTTTTTATAGGGTTTTGTATATTAAAGGCAAATGTTTGAAAACCATATGTGAAAGTCAATTTATGAAATATTGAATTAACGATTTTTCTTCATTTTTTTTTTGTATTGATCTCTTAAATGTGTATTTATTTAATTTAAAAATGTTGTAATTTGTCATAATTTTTATTCATTTTATTGATTTTATTGGCATATTCCTGCAAAATTAATTTTCGATAATTGAAAAAAGAAAATCAATATATAAAAAAGGGGAAGATATGTAGAATAACATGGTTATTAGATTTCGGGAAAGATTGCTGCAAATTCAATTTTATTCAAAATTGACCCCAAAAAATACTGGAAAAGGCATATAAATTATAATTTGAGAAGTTATATAGTTTCCAAATATATGAATAGGTAATGTAAGGACACCCGGTATGTTAGAACTTTTGAAGATATTTAGAGCATATCTTCAAAATTCAGGAATTATATTATTTTTTAAATGTGATGTTTAAAATTGTCCTATTAATTAATTTTAATCAACGAAAATATCTTACCACTTCTTATTTTTGTTCTTTATTACACACACGTCTTTTTTTATTTTAGCTTGAAATTGAGCACTCCCAACGATGGAGATATTCTCATCGATTATTCCAAGAATCGTCTTGATGATGAGTTATTCAAGCTTCTTCTTGAGTTGGCTAAACAAAGAAAAGTTGAACAGGCTAGAGATGCCATGTTTACTGGTGGTAAAATTAATTTCACTGAGAACAGAGCCGTCTTACATATTGCTTTAAGAAATCGTGCCAACAGGCCCATTTTGGTAGATGGTAAAGATGTAGTGCCTGATGTGAATGCAGTTCTCGAACACATGAAGCAGTTTACTAACTCTATCCTCAGTGGACAGTGGAGAGGGTAAGTAATTCTTTATTGTGAGTCCTTCTTGATTGTATATGAGATACACTGCAGTTCTTTAAGCATTCGATTAATATTAATTAACCTTGTGCCAGGTCTAATAATGTCCTCTCATTTTCTATAAATTAAATTGATAACATTGCAACAAATGTTTTTTGTAGATATTCTGGTAAACAGATAACAGATGTTGTCAATATTGGCATTGGGGGTTCAGATTTGGGTCCTTTGATGGTCACAGAGGCTTTGAAGCCATTTAATAAGGGTTTGAGGTTACACTTTGTTTCGAATATCGATGGGACCCACTTGGCCGAGGTTTTGAAAAAATTGGATGCCGAGACTGTCCTCTTTATTATTGCTTCTAAAACATTCACTACACAAGAGACCTGCACAAATGCTGCGTCTGCTAAAGACTGGTTTTTGGGATATGCAAAAGATGTGAGCGACATTCATTATCTCAAAATCTTATCTAAATGACATTATTTGTAGCCAGCTGCTGTGTCGAAACACTTTGTTGCTCTAAGTACAAATGCTGAAAAAGTAGCAGAATTTGGTATCGATACAGATAACATGTTTGGATTTTGGGACTGGGTTGGAGGAAGATATTCTTTGTGGTCTGCGATTGGTCTCAGCATTTGTTTGTCCATTGGATTTGATAATTTTACTCAGTTATTAGATGGAGCGCATTTCTTAGACAACCATTTCCAAACTGCACCTTTGGACAAAAATGTGAGGAAGTTCTATGATCTATATATAATATATGAAAAATAAATATAACGTTTTAGGCTCCTATAATACTTGCATTATTGGGCATTTGGTACAGTAACTTTTATGGAGCCGAAACACATGCACTTCTACCTTATGATCAATATTTGCATAGGTTTGCTGCTTACTTCCAGCAAGGTGATATGGAGAGTAATGGAAAATATGTTACAAGAAGTGGAAGACAGGTAAGTGAAGCAAAATCTATTTCTAGATATTCTAATAATTATATTTAACATTCACTTGAAACTTTGATTCGTTTTGTTGGGAATACAGAGGATTTACAAACTTGGAGATTATTTTGTAATACATTATATAAATACTGGTTTTTTCTAATAAAAGAAACTTAAAAATGTGCGAACATATTGAGAACTGCTGGAGTATTTTCACAATATACATCGTAGTAATTTTGTATTTAAAATAGAAAAGATAAATATTCTGAATTTTATAAGTAAATTGTTTTTATATAGGTACTTTTACAATTTTTGAATTACAAAACGTAGAGTCCTGAGGATGTCATAATAAAATTGATGAAACTTCTATAAAGTGTAATGTTTTTTTGTTAAGCTTTGTGGCCTAACCTAGAAAAGAAAAAAAACAATAGTGATGAGAAGTAATGAGTTGAAACCATTCTCTTTCGTTCTCCAAGAACATTTGCGAAATTTGGAAAATGTTTCCTAGCCTTGAGAAAGAAAATATGTCCCAAAATTACGGACAACTTTCTCCAAAATTCTGGAGAACGTTCCCACCAATTTTGCATAATTCACATTTAGGCTGATTAAAAAAAAATCGACAATTTTTTTTTTCAAAATTTCCTCTGAAATAGATTCAGGGAGGTGAGAAGAGATGCCTGTAAAAATTGGAACTTTTAATATATTAATATTAGAGTTAGAGGTCGTGTATTGCGATTTTCCATTTAAATATTAATTATTTTTCAATTTCAGAATTTTATATCTTAAAAACCAATAGATAGATTTAAATGACCGAAATGTATCCTTGTAGGGAATTTAAAGTGCTACAAAAGTGGAAAATTTTAAACTATCACAACCGAAAAATCATTTATCATTAGTAAAGAAATAATTTTAAAACATTTCAAATACTATTGTAATACAATACGAGTAAAAGGGATTTTAATTGATTCTTCCCAGAAATGGTGGGTTTTTCAGTCATATTAATTTGAATAACTAATCTGGAGAAAAAAGTGTAATTATAACATAAATTTAACTTTGAATTTGACTAACTTTTGTACGAGTCTGTTTATCAAAAAATGATAAGGGACATTTTGTGTAGAACGTTCAATTCCCTACAAGAATATGTTTCGGTAATTTAAATCCGTCTATTGGTTTTTAAGATATAAAATTCTGAAATTGAAAAATAATTTTTCCTATGTTGTTTAAATAGAATATCACGATGCGCGACCTCTAAATATTAATATTAAGAGTTCCGATTTTTACAAGCATCTCTTCTCACCTCCCTGAATCTATTTCAGAGATTTTGAAAAAAAAAATTGTCGATTTTTTTTACTGCACTAAATAGTAAAGTAACAGTACTAGTAAAGTACTGTTACTTTACTATTTAGGCCAGGAAATATAGAGTTGGACGTGACTTTTTATTTCGGAAAGCTGAATTTATCACTATAGATGCTAAATATTATGTACAATAACATATTAGTTGCCACAGTCATAAAAATGGGGGGAAGATTGTTTACAGGGTGGTTAATTGTATAATTTTTACGTAAATTCACGTTTTTCGCTTATAACTTTTTCCGTTCATTTCCACGAGAAAACGGTAAAGAACTTTTTTTTTCGTCTTCAAAAGACCTACAAAACTAGCCCTCGAGCATTAAAAAACATTGATTAGATCAAAAGTTATAAACGGAAGAAATTTATTTATGACGAATTAAATATTTATAAATTGCGTTTTTATTACCAGAACGTTTTGGCATCGCATCCTCTCATTCCTTATCACTGTCTAATAACTCACACAAAATCTGGAATCAGTAAGTTGAAATTAACCAATTATTAGTCTGGACGATCCCGAGGATCTTCCACAATTGCACTGATTTTTTTCATGGTAGATTTCATAATTTAATAATTTTATTATTTTCCAAAAAAGGGAGGTGAATTATGTCTAAATTATATGTAAAATGAATGCAAAATATACAAAATGTTCCATATCATTGTTTAAATTTTTGGAGCATAAAGTAAATTTAATTCTGAGAATAAAAAAACAGAAAAATGGTAGGCCAATCTTTATCTTTACTTTAATAAGACGCCAGCTCTTGCTTGCTATGACAGAACCGCGTATTAGCAAAAAAGACATTTTCAGATAACCGACCTTAAAAAATAAATGCTTCATGTAAAATTTTAATAGGGGCATTTCAGAATGTCAGACTACATATCTTTTAATGCACCAGAATGTCTTTTACAAGAATTTTAAAAATATAAATTCATTTGAAATCAAATTTCAATCAATAATTTTATGAGCACTATTTTGCAAAGCAACAACATTACCCTAGAGCAGACGTCTTCAAACTTTTATGACTTGTGGAACCCTGCCAACATTTCGATTTTTTGAGGAATCCCCACCCAAAAAAAATTTCCAACATTTTGTACTGCTTATATAATATATTTATAAATACTACGATTAACAAAATAAATATTTAAGGATGGCTATAATGAAGGCGTCTCATAGTCACCGTCCGTTTCGCCCTACCACAAATAAGATCCATTTCTTATTTGTGGAAGGGCAAAATGGGCGGTGACTATTAGACGCCTTCATTATAGCCATCTTTCTCTATCGCATGGATTTCTATGGCTTACTTTATCGCTCTCACGTAACTTCAGATAGACCATCGGTACTTTCCTACACGGTACATACACGGTAAGGTAAGCGGTGGCGGTGGCGTTTGAATGTAACGCATAGAAACAAATGGGTCAAAACATACATGTCGCGATACGAGCAGTATATTTAAATTCGAATACCGCCACCGCTACCGCCGTCGCTACCGCGTATGTATGCACAGGCCTTTATTGGATAATTAAAAAAGAGAGTAAATATAATCAATGACTGCGATGTGCTTGAATATTTTTACATAATATGTTGAAATCATGCTATTGTGGTAAGCTGCAATCGCATATGTGTGTACTTATAAAAATAAAAAGTTTTAGGATTATAATTTTTTAAAAATTTTGTATTATTGATATTGTTAATTCCAAAATCTTGAATTTTTGACTGAGTCGCGGAACCCTCAGAAAGGTTGTGGGGAACCCTAGGGTTTCGTGGAACACAGTTTGAATACCGCTGCCCTAGACTTCTTTTTTTTTTTCAGGTTGTGATGTCATACGCTTGAGCGTATGACCATCTACTAGATAGAGTAACATCTAAATTTAAAAAAATAATTATTACTTTATTATAATAAATGCCGTAGTACTGTTTCCCATTTCGCAGGCTGACGAATTGTGAAAATAAGTATATAATGTTATGTGTTAATATTGTGAATTGCTATTAAAACTTAGACTTTTCATCGATATGAAATTAGCTAAATATATTTCCAAATTACGAGTATTACAAAATGACGATTTTGTAGAATGAAATACAAAAATTGTTATTATTATTTGTCAAATGAAAGTTAATGATTACTCGTCTATTGTGGTGCCTTCCTAAATGTCGAGTGGTAACTGAATTTTCTAATTAATTAGGTAACAAAATCCTGGATCAATCCGATTTCTTCAGATATTGGATAAATAATTGTAGTTGCCAACAAGCAATGTTGCTTGGCTTCAGCTTTAAATAAGTCAGCAGTACTCAACAGTAGTGTGTATTTAAAAAAAAAACAACATTTATAGACTTCTTTTATCAAAATCTATTTCTTATTAAATTAAACTAAATATTGTTTAATATAGTGTTTTTCATTTTTGTATGCATTGAATTAATGTATCCTAAAATCTACAGGTCGATTATAACACTGGCCCAATTGTTTGGGGCGAACCAGGTACCAATGGCCAGCATGCTTTCTATCAGCTTATCCATCAAGGTACTCGAATTATTCCCGCTGACTTTATTGCCCCAGCACAAACCCACAATCCCATAAGTAATGGCAAGCACCATAACATCCTCCTCGCCAACTTTTTGGCACAGACCGAAGCACTTATGACTGGTAAAACACCTGATCAGGCAAAGGCTGAATTGGAGAAGCAGGGCCTTCAAGGGGAGCAGTTGGAGAAGATTTTACCACACAAGGTGTTCTTGGGGAACAGACCAACAAATAGTATTGTTGTTAAGAAGGTCACTCCTTTCGTTTTGGGAGTTCTTATAGGTAAGATTTGGGAATCTTTTAATAGTCTCTTTCTCTTGTAATTTTTTTTTTCAAAAATCCTCAATTATTTTCAGCACTGTATGAACATAAAATCTTCACTCAAGGGGTAATTTGGGACATAAACTCTTTCGATCAATGGGGCGTAGAACTGGGGAAGCAGTTGGCCAAAGCCATCGAGCCTGAACTGCAGGACAACAACCCAGTGTCATCCCATGATGGCTCCACTAATGGGCTTATCAACTTTATTAAAAGTAGTCGATAAATAGATTTTAGACTGTTTTATGTGATCCGTACTACATAGCTTAAAATAATATTGTGGAATGAGTTATTAATTGATGTTTTGTAATCAGGGTGGCAAATATACACAATGGATTTTTAATTATGTGGTTTTATTTTCTTCTACATGGTATACGAAGCTTGATAAAAAAATAACGGGAATTTTCAAATTGCCTGTGATGTATTTTGTCTATTGAGTTGATTCTTTTTTATGTATTGGCAGCACTGTGTGACTTTTTGGGTAGCCGCCGCACTTAATTTGTGTTTAGCGAGCGAATGAGTAAAACCTCAATGTTTTTGGCAATTTTTGAATGGTGAAATGTCGGATGAAAGTTTCCGATATTTTGTGGTAAAAACGGAATTAAGTGCATTCAACCTCTCTATTCTCCAGATACGACCCCCTTTTTATATTTCTTAAACTCAAAAGGATACTCAAAGGGCGTTTTTCAACAATAGTTGAGATAAGGGCAAAATTGCAAAACGTATTCAAAACGATACCTAAATAGGCATTCCAGCAATTTTGCAAACTGCAAAGTACCTTGGCATAAGTGTAACTTTTTGAGGAAATTAACAGTTCCCGTTACTTTTTTATCAAACCTCATATCATACTCAAGTACTACAGCCTACAAGTAGGTAACTAGATATTATATTAAATGTTTATTTTTTTTTAATTAGTAACATTTGATTTAATAGAATCTGTGACAAAAAGACATACACTTTATAAATGCCACAATTTACAATTCAATTACTTAAAACCATATGAGTAACTAAATAAGAGGGGTTTTATTCTGTATCTTCTGTTGGCAGCAGCGGCAGAGAACGCCATCTGTAGTTACTGTGGCAAACGACACACTGAAACCACAGACCATAAAATAATTAAGGAAACTGCATAGGAAAACACAATTAAAGTAATTTCTAATTCTACAGTCTAATGGATGTCGCTGCACCATAATGGCGGCAAATCTAAAATAATAAAATACACTAATGAATAAAAAGTATTTCATAAGTAATACATATCACAAAACAGCTGTTAATGGTTTGTTGATAATTAAAATTAAGGTGAATCATTGCGACAGCGGTGTCATGACCCACTACTTATGAAACACTTTAAATCAAAAAAATGTACATGGAGACTCCTATTATTATTTTTTTAAAGAAACAATTAAAAACTGCAAATCTCAAAGAAATTTTTTATTAAAGAATTATTTACCTGCCTTTATGTAAAATAATATTGCAGTTACTGGCCAAAAATTATTTCGAATTCGAAATAATGGTCATGTATCTTTCGTAAACCTTGGAATCGTCTAGATTTATCAATTTCATAACACTACTATGTGGCTGAATTTTGCTGTTTTATTCCGTGAAAATTTAATATTATTTGTTATATAAAGCATTTCTTGTATTTTTATGCAAATGAGGAACGTCAAAAATGGGAATAATTTCCTCGCCATTAACATTAAAAGTGGATTTATCTGATGACTCGGAAACTAACTGTGATACCTAGCTGATCTGTTTCCACTAACAGATTGATCAACTTGATCACAAATTATACAAATTATTTTTAGTCCACAAGGCTGCAATGCTAAAATTATTTCAATTTACAAAATTTTTAGGTCTTTTGTTCTTATAACGTCTTTTCTGGAATAATACGCGATAGGCTGCTTCCAATGTTTACTAATACCTTGCACCAAAAACACTAGAGCATGATTTGCTACCTCATTTTGTCTGCCCAGGGACCCAAGATCGACATATCCCATTACNAATTAAGGTGAATCATTGCGACAGCGGTGTCATGACCCACTACTTATGAAACACTTTAAATCAAAAAAATGTACATGGAGACTCCTATTATTATTTTTTTAAAGAAACAATTAAAAACTGCAAATCTCAAAGAAATTTTTTATTAAAGAATTATTTACCTGCCTTTATGTAAAATAATATTGCAGTTACTGGCCAAAAATTATTTCGAATTCGAAATAATGGTCATGTATCTTTCGTAAACCTTGGAATCGTCTAGATTTATCAATTTCATAACACTACTATGTGGCTGAATTTTGCTGTTTTATTCCGTGAAAATTTAATATTATTTGTTATATAAAGCATTTCTTGTATTTTTATGCAAATGAGGAACGTCAAAAATGGGAATAATTTCCTCGCCATTAACATTAAAAGTGGATTTATCTGATGACTCGGAAACTAACTGTGATACCTAGCTGATCTGTTTCCACTAACAGATTGATCAACTTGATCACAAATTATACAAATTATTTTTAGTCCACAAGGCTGCAATGCTAAAATTATTTCAATTTACAAAATTTTTAGGTCTTTTGTTCTTATAACGTCTTTTCTGGAATAATACGCGATAGGCTGCTTCCAATGTTTACTAATACCTTGCACCAAAAACACTAGAGCATGATTTGCTACCTCATTTTGTCTGCCCAGGGACCCAAGATCGACACATCCCATTACTTGATCTTCATAGTGTCATAATTTAGACCAACAGACAGAGCTATTTCATCAAATACTAAACAACAAACGTTATCTCTTGTAATCATTTTACTAACACGTTCTGATAATTTACGTAACATATTATAACCTGAATAAAATAATATCTAATTGTAAATTAAATCAGACCCATAAAATATTAAATATTAAGTTTCTATCTTGTCAAAATTTTCAAATAACACATTTCTATACTCCACGGTCGAAATTATATAGCTAGCTAACTTTTGGACTAGTAAGGGGGATGAAGCGTGCCGGGAACGAAAATCCATTGGCGTGTCTGCGTAAAAGGCAACAAGACATAGAAAATAATGAAAAAAGTAATAAAACATAACATCTAATATTTTTTACGGTTNCGCCGCCATTATTCTATGGCTAGAAATTGGCCTCAATGATTTGGGATCGAGGGGGATTATCCCTCTTTATCCTGCCTCATCTCGTGTAGGCCTGGACAGCCTTCGTAGGTGGGCCCCATCCGTCGTCTACCCCGACCGCAAATGCGGCCGGTGTAGGCGCTTTGTGGGACCTCCTTTTGTCCTGGCTCCAAGATCGACATATCACAATCACATTACTCGATCTTCATAGTGTCATAATTTAGACCAACAGACAGAACTATTTAATTAAATACTAAACAACAAACTTTATCTCTTTTCAAATAACACATTTCTAGTTGGTATTTTACCTATATAAATTACTTTTATAGATATGTCCTGCAAACGAAAAATTGTATAATTTGTGACAAATCGTAAAATCTGGTATGTCCTCCAATCGTCGAATAAATCGTAGCGACCTTTAGCGGATGATTCGGATTAGGTTTCGAATTAAATATTTCTAAATTTCAAATTAAAACAAGAAAATCAGTCTAAATTTAGTTTAGATTGAATTATTACCAAAATAAGGACCTAATCTAAAGAAAATATGCAAGTCTAATCTTAAGTTTTGTTGCATGTACAGGGTGATTCATTAACAATGGGAATATGACGATTGGCGCAAAGATGCCTTATCCGAAAGTTAATAGTTTCGTTAAAATTTTAAATCGTTTTTTTTGCGATTATTCTGAATATATGTAGGTTAGGAACTTGAAAATTTGTGAAACTATATTTTTTTAGGCGACAAATAAGATGCGAGTTGTTATTTCAGCATTGTTCGTAGAAGGCGCCACTTACGACCAATTTTACCGAAAATTTAGTTAATAACTTTTTACCCTGTATGTCTAACATGAAATTTGATTCAAAACCTTGTTTCATTTCGGTATCTCTATCCGTTTTCGATAAAAATCGATTTAACGAACACTATGTTTTGATAATATGAGAAATTAAATTAAATGTAAAAATTAAAACATTTTTGGTTATTATAATAATTATATTATTAAATAAACATTCATACTTACTGCCACATACGTAAGAAAAAACTATTTATTGTTCCGCCTATGCTTACTTATCAAGGAATATTATTTATTATTAGGTTCAATAGAGGTATTAGCATTTAACAATTTAAAAGCAATAAACTTACATTCAAGGTTTGTTTTTAGAAATAGATATAAAACCTAACCTCGTTGCCGACATTTAAAATAAAAATAGCTTCGGATATATTTCTACAGTAAGTAAAACATTTTTTCTGGATATTATAGTTAATTTATACGTTCAAAACATAAAATATAGTGTATATTTTGTTAAAAAAATATGTTTTCTTGTAGATAATTGTAGTCTAAATTTGGAATATGTAAGGGTAGATTCGTTGTCAAAAACAATGGACCTACTCTAATATGATAACAAGTGCAAATAGTCATTTACCTTAATTTACATTTAATATGATTATTTTGATAGACACACGTTTCGTTAAGGTTTATAAATAAGAATGTAGATTTGGAATTTATCTAGTTTCATGAACATAGGCGGGCGGAATAGTATAAAATTCGTTGCCTTTAAGTTTATAATCGCAACAGGCATGTTTATAGTTAAAGTTTTATTGGCATTTCATAATTTATTTTGTAAGCAATGTTTCATCTATTTTTAAGGAAATTTACTGTCAGGAAGCTTATTTGTTTATGATCCTTTAGAAACGCGAAATGGAAACATCGCTGAGAAAAGTATGATAATAGGGAGGGGAGTACTTTGAAGGAGACAAGTATCAATAATAATGAATACAATTATTCATAAAGTTTAAAAAAATAAAGTTCTGTTATTTTCTGAACAGACCTCGTATTGAATTCTTAATATACTACGATCTTTTTCAATATAATGAACCCGTACCAAATATATAGTTACTTATTGCATTTTAGTAAAATATTGTGTGCTATTTAAAACATCTGGAAACGCTGATGCGTGTATCAATTTTTTTTCCTTTTCTTCAATTAGAAATTTTAGAGAGTTGGATTAATTTATGAGAATGTTTCAGAAAAAATTGTTTGTAGCCAAATATTATCAGGTTATAACCATAATATAGGGAACAATTCCCAAGATATAAAAAGTGCCCAAAATCTCAAAATATACGTGTTTGGAGCAGGCAAATAAAATGATGGTGTCAATTTTTATTCAAGGTTTGTCAGGAAATCACAAAAAAATAAAAGGAGATTTTTCTTTAGGATACCAATAATTAGCTTTTTAGATACACAAATTTTCTAAATTTAATGAATTTCGGATTAAATTGGCTTAGGTATTTTTTTACATTTTTCACTATAAATGTACAGAGCCTTTTTAGTGAAAAATTTTCAAGAGTTTCAACGAATTTTTCGAACGAAATTTGGTGATTACATTTAGAACCGCTGAAATACGTTTTCACATTTTTCTATACTCTCTTTATTTGGCACGAAATCGCAAAAGTTGCATAAGGGAGACAAGAAAAAATTTTTAAACGAGTACCTCTTCAGACGGAGTGTCTAGACATCCGCCAATCAAAGAAACTGTGATCCGATTTTTTTAAACCGGTAACCGGTCGCTTCGTTCGCTTTCCCTTCTACATTGCCGTTCGACTGAAAGCACGGTTTTTGCTCTCCCGCGAGAAAAAACAAGTGAAATTATAAAATTTGATGAAAGTAATATGAAAAATTGATTTTGTTCATTTAATTTTAATAATTAATGTCTCAATAAAAATCAGTTCAGGTTCACCTTCTTATTAATTTGTAATCGTTCTTATAACAATAGCAGATGTTTACATCTTATCTTCTTTAATTATTTTAGAAACAAACCTTTATCATAATTAAATATTTATTTGGATTCAGAGATTACTTAGTCGACAATATTTTATAATTTATAAAAGTATTATTTTCATTATATTGTATATAACTGTTAATTACGTTAGTAACTTTAAAACTACAGTTTGTGTTGGACTTTCAAAAATCGATCAGTATCTACTTTACTAAAAAAAGCGGAGGGGCACGTTTTAAAAGTAAGTGTTTAAAATAGGAGAAATAATAAAAGTGTGGTATATAAAAATGGGTAAATAAAATCGGCAAAGTACTTCTAGAGATCTAACTGATTATTTCTTTTACAATTAAAAAATTAATTTATAGTAGCATTAATAAATATTATAACTGATTCTAACATTCCTAACATAAAAATGAAAAAGATCATTTAGTTAGTGAACTATATGATTACTGTTTATACAAAATTAATGAAAAGAATATAGTTATTGTACGTATACATTTTAGTTATCTGTACTATCAGGTACCTATCTTTCAAATATAATATTTATTAAATAAAAATAAAAATAAAAATTGGAAACAAACATTTTATATTAGTACCTACCTAATAATTAAATTTTGACTAACTTGTTTTTAACTTCGGTTATAATTTGGACCGTTTCCAGCTGGAATAATTAATTATAATTACCTCTTTTTAGATGGTGCTAAATAATAATAAATTTCGTTTTGCTATTGACCGCGGAGGCACCTTCACGGATGTCTTTGCCAAATGCCCCAATGGTAAAATTCGTGTTTTGAAATTGTTGTCCGAAGATCCTCAACATTATAACGACGCTCCAACTGAAGGAATCCGTCGAATTTTGCAGGAGGTAAGTCGAAGTCAAAGTAATTATTGGCGATAGAACAGTTTAAGTATTGTGGGTTGCCTATGTGCAAATCATAAAATGAAAATCAGAGAAAACCGTTTATCCCTTTTCTACGGCACCGTTACGGAGAACGAAAAGATTTTTATAATAATTCAAAATCCGTGCAATTGGTACACTCTTTTGTTATTTGGTGGTTTTCTGCAATTTAGGAATTTTATACCAAAAAACTGTATTAGGAAGAAAGTATCTATATGAAAAAATAGTAACATTTTAAATGGTAATTATTTAATAATGAATCAAATATGCAACTTTGTAATTTGAAGTATTAGTCCATTCTCGTTATTCAGTGTTTATATAAAGAATTTAATCAAAATTCTACTAGAACTAGTTGTTCTAGGATAACTGATAACCTGATGTTTCTTCTATGAAGAAAATTCGTTGTTGGGTATTAAGCATTTTGAAAATTCATAGTCACAATATTCTCGTTATATCTTTCTCCGCAGACCCATTTGTGAAAATTTAGATTTTAATAATATTAAATAACTTATAGGAAACTGGAAAAGCTTTAGATGAGCATGGAAATGTAGACAGTTCCCTGATAGACTGGATCCGTATGGGCACAACTGTTGCGACTAATGCCCTACTCGAAAGAAAAGGAGAAAATATGGCTTTTGTGATAAACAAGGGATTTAAAGATATTCTCCTGATTGGCAATCAAGCTAGACCAAAAATTTTTGAGTTGGTAAATATATTTTCTTTTCTACGTCATTCCGATTCTTATTGGACTGAATCTAACGTTAATTTTGAATATTTTTCTTTATTTTAAGAATATAAGACGGCCTGATATTTTATATTCTGAAGTAGTAGAAATCGACTGTAGAATAATACCGATGCTAGAAGATAAATGTGAATTAGGGTCACAGACAGCTAATTGGAGAAAGATTAGAGGTAGAACTGGCGAATCGTTCTATGTCACCAAGGAACTAGATAAGAAAGAAGTAAGGGAGAGCCTTTTGAAAATTAAAGAGAAAGGCATTGAGAGCATTTCCGTAGCGTTGGCTCATAGCTATACCTTCTATGAACACGAAAACGAAGTTGGTGATATTGCTAGAGAAATAGGTACCTAGTACTTAGATAATACAGTTCTACTCTTTCAAAAGTAACTGCAAACATGGTTTAAAACATTTTTTGCAGGTTTTAAACACATTTCCCTTTCCCATGAAGTTATTCCTATGGTTCGCATAGTACCAAGAGGTTTCACTTCATGCGCAGATGCTTATCTGACGCCCCATGTCAAAAGGTATGTTCAAGGATTTTCTAAAGGGTTCAAGAATAACCTGGAAGGCACCAGAGTCTTGTTTATGCAAAGTGATGGCGGTTTAACACCGATGCACAGCTTCAACGGTGTTAGAGCCATTTTGTCAGGTCCTGCAGGTGGGGTAAGTAAATTTTTTGTGTTCCTAAATGGTTCTATAAAGAGTCTTAGAGTACCGAGGTCGTTTTTTTTCCAGGAGATTTATTCTTTGTACAAAATTCAAAAGTTTGGTGCCCAATATTCTGAATTCTTTCGCATTTAAGTAAGATTTTCCAAAGGGACTGAATCTCAGACAGGTATCTCGTATTCTTCCCAGTTGCAATCCCGAGAGAATGGTTTCTCTATTAATTTCACGTAGTATAGTCGGTAGTCCACAGTGTCCTGAGTCCTGTGTGTGCCTCACGACATGAGTGCCAAATGCTATCTCGGTCCTAGGGAAACAGTGTCTGATTCCTTTTTCGTAAATTGACATGTCCATTTTTAGTGCCTTTATCTCCTACTGCATCCTTGACTCATAGGTGTGAATCATCTAAATAGACAGTCCCAAACATTTTGAGAACATTTTGTTTAAAATTAAAGCCTTTATTGTAGCCTGATCAGAGCAAATTCTCCATCAAACACGCACTTACGGCGAAGATTTCAGTTTGAAATAATGTAGGAAAGGCTCTCAGGCCATAACTTCCTTGCTTGAGCCTAAATCCTACTACTTTAGTTTCAATTACACTGTCCCCTTTAGAACCATCAGTAAACCTACCAGGCTTCATTTTTCCAATGCGTTTATATCGATTCTCATTCTTCTCGATTACATACTTGAGTTCCGGAAAGTTTATGGAAGTTGAATTTTGCAAATATTCTGTGTCGTTTGTTATGAATTGCATCCTGGACTCATTATTCCTGATACTGTACAGTACTGTCTTTCCAAGATACCCGCTGGAGTTGATGCCGATACATGCCATCCTTTAAAATTTATTTAATTTTTCTCATGCTGTTTAACTTCGGATCACCACATCACTTTTTACTGCTTTTCCGACAAATAAAAACATATTATTACGGCTCTGGATAAGCATTTCTCCATCCAAGGACACCGAAAATATTTGAATCAGATCAAAGTGTTGACAACGTAAAACTGCTGATTTACATATTACAGGGTGTTCCCAAATATCATGTACATAAGGGAGGGGGTAATTCTTTGGCTTATTTCATGACTAATAGTTCATATAAATATAGGTCCGCAAACGCTTCGTTACAGGGTGTTGAAATTTTAAAATTTTTTTAGTTTCTTCTCTATAGCTCTCACAGTTTTTGAGATATTTAGCTCAAATTTGGAATATAAGTTACGCTGTAGGGCTTACATCATTGGACATGCCAGATGGTCGTGATATTCTATAGAGTGATATTTTTTCGGGGTTCATGCCCCCTTTTCTTCCCCTCAACTTTTGTGTGGTGCGGCCGCTGGTATATTCTAAAATCAAAATTGAAGTTTATGTTTTGTTGAGAAACTTTTTGGTCCCTTATGATTTTTTCGTATCTGCGACCGTTATCGAGAAAAAAAAAAAAATCCATTTTGTGTAATTCGTTAGATGAAATTGAAATTCTTAAAATGGTCCAGTAGGTCCTGGATTTATTTGCATAATCTCGCATTTGAAATCGTAACTTGGGTCTGCATATGTTTATTATGTATATGTAATTAAAGGTTTAAGTCATAAACATAACGTGTAAAATTGTTTTAAATACTCATTATAATCTCATAACAATGCCAAATTTTACGAATTTTGAAATGGCTGAAATGCATTTCATGTATGGCCTTGCGAATGGAAATGCAAGAGAAGCTAAACGTCTGTACATGGAGCACTATCCCAATAGAATGACAGTTGATCAACGAATATTCTCAAATATTCATAGATGTCACTTTCGACAATTGTTGTAACATAGTTTTCTTGTTATGGTTATTATTATATTATTTAGGTTTTTTGTATTGTAATAAATTAAGTATTGCTACAAAAACCGGGTCTGCCCAGCTTTTAACAGGTAGGTAGTGGCGAATAAACTGTCATAATTAATAGAAACAAGAGATTATCTAAATAAAGCAAGAGCCTACTGGACAATTTTAAGAATTTCAATTTCATATAACGAATTACACAAAATCGTTTTTTATTATTTTTTTTCTATAACGGTCGTAGATACAAAAAAATTATAAGAGACAAAAAAGTTTCTCAACAAAAACATAACATAAAATTCAATTTTAAATTTAGAATTTACCAGTGGCGCACTGCACAAAAGTTCAGGGGAAGAAAGGGGGTCATGAGCCCCGAAAAAATATAGCTCTGTAGAATATCACGACCATTTGCATGCCCAATGATGTAAGCTCTACAGCGCAACCTATATTCCAAATTTGAGCTAAATTTCTCAAAAACTGTGGGAGCTATGAAGAAAAAACTAAAAAAATCTTAATATTTCAACATCCTGTAGATCGATAACGAAGCTTTTGCGGACCTATGTTCATATGAATATAATATAATTCATATCGTGAAATAAGCCAAGGAATTCCTCATGTACATGATATTTAGGAACACCCTGTATATTGATTACTTTTTGCAAACCCGCGTTTTATTTAAAAGTAGTTAAATATTGTAATTTTTAACATCCCCTTTAAGAGACAGATTTATTAGATCACATTTCTATCATGCTATTGAATTATCATTTTAGGTAGTGGGCTATGCGGTGACAACGTGGCAAAAGGAGACCGATTTGCCCGTAATTGGGTTTGACATGGGTGGCACTTCCACGGACGTTTCCCGTTTTGCCGGAAATTATGAACACGTTTACGAAAGTACCACTGCTGGAGTTACCATTCAGGCCCCTCAGCTAGACGTCAATACCGTGGCGGCTGGAGGGGGATCTATGTTATTTTTCCGGTGAGATGTCCTTTACTTGTTTAATGAAATAATATCTAGTTGGACATAAATTGGTTTTAAAAGTTAGAAATTCAGTTATAATTTACATTATTATGTATACAAATAGTAAATACAGAGTCATTCCACTTAGTAAGTAGGTAATTATTTTCTGATAATATGTAATCAAAATTTTCTTTATAACATAAATATTACCGATTTTTTAAATTTCGACACTTGGTATCTCGACAATTAAGTGTTCTGAGAACTGTTTATGTGACCTTTCTCTGACTTTGAGACAATTTGAGCAGGTAAGATATGGCTATGCAATTCAGAACACCCTGTACATATATCAGAAGAATAATTATTCACCATGATTAAATAAACAACCATTTTAAATAGTTCAAAGTTAGTTTAGCCTTTAACCAGTACCAATTAAAATTCCTACACTCTTTTTAAGATCCGGCCTGTTCGTGGTCGGTCCGGAGTCCGCAGGGGCTCATCCTGGGCCGGTCTGTTACAAAAAAGGGGGTCCCTTGACGGTGACTGATGCCAATTTGGCTTTGGGACGGTTGCTGCCGGAATACTTCCCCAATATATTTGGACCGAACGAGGATTCTCCTCTAGATAAAGTAGAAACTATTAATAAATTCCAGGAACTTGCTGAGGAAATCAATAATTTTTTGCGCAGTCAAGTTGAGAAAAGGGTAAGTTGTTTTCGTCAGAAAAAATTGGTATAGTAAATGCGCGAGGTCTGTCGGTTCTAACAATACTTGCAAATGTGTTATCCAGTTATCCAGTGGCGGCTGGTTTGGAAGGCCTCTGAGGCGCCACCCCCTGGAAATTTTCATGGTAAAAAAATTTAATTTAAAATTTTATAATGTTATCTACATAATTAAATTAAACTTAAAAAGGAAATATTCAATTTTTAATGTGTAGTCAATTTAACTCGACTTGCAAAGTTCATTTGAAAAACACTGAATACATGGGATCCTCGTAGCTCGCCCCTAAATCTGTAAAGTGTTTACAGCGGTGGTCATGGTTACGTCGCACAGCATTTTCGAATTATCTAATCCATAGTTTTGATTGACAACTGATAACTAGCAAAATGCCAACAATCTCGGTGCCAAATAAGTAATTAAGACAACAAAAAAAGGCATAGCACATTATCTCTTATTTTTGTTGCCGCTGCATTAAAGAAATAAGTTCTTTTTTTTCTAAAAATAGATTAGTGTTAGGCAAACAAATTCAAGACACCTTTTGTGTTGTCAAATGTTAGGCGAGTTCGAAAATAATAAAAATTTTAAAATATCTATTAGCGTTCTTCATTTTATGATAAAAACGTCGGCTGATTCACGCCTAACTACGCTACTGGCGGCAGATAAAAACTGACTTTATATTAAAAATGCAGCTCTTCACCAACTGCCAAATTTTAAGAACCTAACATTGACTATGAATTATTTCAAATAACTATTAATATATTTTTTCATTATTTATATATTTTCAACAATCTGTATCTCGGAATCTTAGCGTTTCCAGCCACATGTTTATAGGAATTTTTTTTAATAATATAAGAAATTGTGTCCTGAAGTTACGGACCGTACTTAGGAAATACCCTGTATAATTTAACTATACTCGTATTAGGTACATAATAGTCAGAGAAATTAATTGAAAATAGTTTGGTTGTATGGTTAAAAAAAAATTTGAAAATAAATTACTTACCTCACGTTCTTCTTGAGCTATGATGGAAGTTACAGGTGCACTAGGCAAATTAATTATTTTCTATTTATTCCAATTAATTTGTCACGGCCTAATGTTATATTTACAAAGAAATACCACCTGGAAACAAAAAATATGGTGATATAGGAAAAAAAATCCAAGACAGTGTTTTTTCTTGTGGCGCATAAACGGCGAAGTTAACCTAAAAAATTCATAAAAGTCAAAAAAACGTTTTTTCGCTAATAAATAAAACTTGAACTCCAATAGAAAACAGTTAAATGAGAAAGTTGTGGCTATTAAATAAACCTATCGATTCGTATTTTTAAATATATCGATTGCTATATTACTTTTCGAGATATATCGAAAAAACCTCAAAAATCGTTTTTTTTTTATTTTTGCTGTATCTCTTACAAATTAAGATTTTGAAACTTGTTACTTGCTGTAAATGCAGCCCTCGGCAAGCAAAAAAAGTGCTTTTTTAAATTAAAAAATATTAAACATTTTTCGAGTTACATCGATTTTTCGAAAGAAAGGTCATTTCGAAAATATGCTCTTCTTGCTCGACGAATAGTCGTAGAGAAACGAATCAGGGCTCAGTATTTTCCTTACTTTCATGGTGAAAAAGAGTTGTAACGATTTTATTCCTTCCAAGTCTCCAAAAATGACTTTGAAAAAAAGCGAGGGCTCCTTCAATTCTGTACAAAAACTTCTCTATACTTCCTCAAACTTCCTCGCATTCTACCACGATTAACCTCGGCAATAACCATTTTTGTTTAAAGGACGTCTCAACTCTGTGACAAGCGCACGCTTGAATCCATATTTTGGTCAGTTTTGAGATTTGTAAGGATGAATATGTGAGATATGTCTCTCCCTAATGCCCAAAAACCCAAACTTTTAACGTAAATACGATCAATTGTGTTTTGTCTAAGTGTCTATAAGAGCGTAATTAATATAATGCAAAATATCTTTTCAATCCTAGAAATTGCTCAGGATCTAGCGGTGTTTTCGCGACTATTGCTCATTTGCCATGTTTCTAATTTTATAACTTTGTGGCAAAGTTTCAAAGCCCTGTTTTGCACTGTTCGAAAGTTATTTACCTAAAATAATGATACTAAATGGTTTCAAATTACAAATTTCCCGGGCACCTGTCAAAAGGATACTTTGCTTCACAAACGTTTCTGTGAGACGTTTGACAGGCTTCGGAATACCTTTCAACTTCCTCAGCTTCCTTATAATTTCCTCCAACTTCTTCCCGACTTCCTGGGGACATGTACAAAAACTTCCTCAGCGGTTTACCACTCGGAAAAAAGTAAAAATTTTTTGGTCGCATTTTTCTTGAATATGTTTTTCGATTTTCATTTTTCGATAATGTCCATTACAGGAATCGATTGCTGGCATTTTTACGCGAATTAAAAAAAAACGTTGCTCTATCTGGAGCCGATAATTATTTTTTTTTTCGAAAAATTCCACAGGCTTGTGTTCCAACGTCCATTCTTACGGACATTGAAGTTGAAGACTTATATTTTCAATAAAAAAAATAGTGCGGTTCATTTTAGCCACTTCTGCATTTTTAATTTTGCGTCAAACCGAAGCAGAGCAGAGCTAACTGTAATGGGTGGCGGAGTGGGGATAACGCTACTCGGCCGTTCAGAAAACTGAATTAGCGCATTCAAAAAAGTCGATTTTTGACGGTTTTTTCGATATATCTCAAAAAGTAATATGGCTATCGATATATTTAAAAATACGAATCCATAGGTTTTTTTCTAATAGCTACAACTTTTTTCGATTGGAGTTCGTTTTTTTTATTAGTGGAAACGGTTTTTTTTGACTTTTATGAATTTTTTAGGTTTACCTCACCGTTTATGCACCACAGGAGAAAAACACACTGTATTTCTTAGATTTTTTTCCCATATCACCATATTTTTTGTTTCCAGGTGGTATTTTTTGTAAGCTCTTCTATCTATTGATTGGATTAGATTGGACTAATTGATGTGTACAATTTTTGAAGTTCTTACGAATAATTTGCTTGCATCTTTGCCTTAATATACATAATAGGTTATAATTGTGTAGAATTTTATATTGTTTCCGATTCTTATATAACAATTTTCCAGATTATTTTTGATATTATTAAATGAAAAGTAAAGATGTAATTTACTATTTACTTTTTTCTTTGAAACAATATTTAGTACGTAATATTAACATTTTTGAGTAAAAAAAAAAAACATTGACAGATCCTCATATTTGTTTTAAAATAATTTAGCCCAACAAGTATTCGTAAGAGATTATTAATAACATTAAAATATTACGAGAGCTATGGAACAATCCGTCCTTCGTGAAATACCCTGTATATTTGATTCAGTTACTATAAAACACGGTACAGACAATTTAAAAGTATACTTAGAACTTAGAATTAGATCGCCGTCGCCGTCCGCAAAATAGAGCAAAATATACGGAGATAACCACTGACACATCTGCCTCATTTGACGAAATTGCATTTCCTCTTTCAGAGCGTCATGTCCATAGAGGAGGTGGCCATGGGTTTCGTGAGGGTCGCCAACGAGGCTATGTGTCGCCCAATCAGGGCGCTAACTCAGGCCAAAGGTTACGACACGGCCAGACACGCATTAGCGTGCTTCGGGGGCGCCGGGGGGCAGCACGCCTGTGCCATAGCCAGGTCCCTGGGGATGACCACGGTGTTCGTGCACAAGTACGCGGGTGAGTTTCAATTTCCTTATTCTTGATTCTGCATACACTCATAAAAGTTTTATCTAAAATTACTCACTAGATCATTGATTATTATTTATGATAATTAATTTATTATGACTTCAAAACGTAAATTTACAGAGATATATGTATATTTACACCTAAAATGTGATTTCTCGAAGACATAAGGAAACTACATAGTATTTTTAAAAAGAAAGATAAAAACGTAACATTTCTACAAAAATTGTGAGTTTTTATGTATTATATTCATACAAGGTGGCAAGGTACGACGCGACGGCGACATACCTAAATGAAGGGAAAATAACATTAAATAAATTTTAAAAGGTTTATTAAGGCAGTAAACACCACATATTCCCTAGCATAAAATATACATTTTTGAATTATACATAAATACAGAAACAATTAATATACACGGTGTCCTATTTTACATAACGCATTGCAATATCTTCTTAGGGGAGCATTTTTAAGAGAAACTTTTTAGATAGAAGTTGTAGGGTTCTGAGGCAGACATTCGATGGTGATCTTGATTGAGATTGAGAGATTGCTTAAACTTTTTTTGCTCTATGTTTCATAGACTTATGACGTCATCGACATTTTTTTTTAAATAGAACTACCTAATTTTTTAAGCATAAATGGATAGCCTTTTTGAAGAGAAATATGTCGATATAGGGTTTGGCCTACTTTACTTTGACAGGTGCGAAAAAAAGGTACCACAAACTGAACAGTGCCACAGCAAAAAATGGGAATTTGTACATGTTTTGTGTTTTGGTTGATTATAGGTACATGTCTTTATGTATTTATATGTTGGCGTTTTCGGCGATAGAACGAACGACAGTGTGTGGATTTTCAGTGACAGCTAACATAACATTTTGCCTATCATTTTCCGTCACCGTCGTTCTGCCTTCCAGATCTAGGCAGACGTCTAATAGCTGTTTTACATTGACAATTTATTGATCAATTAATTCATGAAGTCGCTTCATCAAGAAATTGGACAAGTGTAATGCACCAAATCTGCTGTCAAATAACTTCATGAATTTATTCATCAAGTTCTTGACGAATTAGAGCATGTTCTAATTTTCGTCAATTTCTTCGTGAAGTTCGGAAGTACCAACTCAATAGATTTCCACCCTCAGATCAGTAATGAGGTTATGTTATTGGAATATGTAAATAATTGTGTGGCGTCGTACTAGTTTTACAAGGGGACCGCCTAGCCGTGTGTCTTGGCCGGCGGATTTTGATCTGCCGAGTCAAGCATCACGGACGTGGGCTGGAATTTGGATGGGTGACCTAAGGCAGGCTCGGGGACGTGGCTGTGGCAGCCTACCAAGAGACCTGGGTCACCCAACATTTGCCGCACGCGTGTGGTCCCCGATAAATGGTAACGAGAGCAGAGCAAGAAATCTCTGTAACTCAAGACCATGCTATCATATATAAACTGTACGAGACTTTGCCACCAAGCCATCCGTGTAGTAAATAAGATGGTTTGAAGAAAAGTACTCGTGTAATGAAGGAGGGAGGTACAAGGGACCTAATAAGGCCTAAGTGCCGTGGTGGAAGACAATTCCACCACCCCTCCGACATACATACTAGTTTTGCATTGTTTTTACTGATTTGTTACTTACAAACACTAATATTTATATAATATGTGTCAAAACGGTACCACTGTTGTATCACTTACAATTATTATGAGTGGAAAGGTGACATTTTTGAAATTGATTTGCTTCTTTGATTCGTTGGTAGAACTGATTCATGCGTCAAAAAACTTGATAAAGTCTGTAGCAATGTAAAACCACACTGTTTACCAATAAATTCGTGAATTAATTCATGAAGAACTTTCGTCAATTTATTCATCAATAAATTGTCAATGTAAAACAGCTATAACATGTGCAGCGTCGGCAAATTTGCGTACTAATCTGCATACTGTAGATGGAGGTATTGGTTGTTCTGGCATTGAATAATTGACAGACTTCATCATAACTACGGATCCTATCTCCGTATCAAACCATAATTTTAATTCTTTGTTTCTCACTTAAATGTAACACCATCGTAATGTAAAGTTATGGCATTTGTAACTGTCACAATGATATGCGGCACTATTGCATTCGCTAACTGTTGTCTTCAAAACAATGCCTAGCCGCTGTGATCTGGTGAACCTACCCAATCTACATAAAAACATGTATCTACAATCAACCAAAACACAAAAAAAACTACAGATTCCCATTTTTTGCTGTGGCACTGTTCTCGCTTCAGTTTGTGACACCTACTTTTGTTGTAATTTTAAACCATGTCCATTCCAATCGTTGTTTTTTTCGCATCTGTCAAAGTAAAGTAGGCCAAACTCTATATCGACGCATTTCCCTTCAAAAGGGCTATCCAGTTATGCTTAACAAATTAGGTAGCGCTATTTAAAAAAAATGTCGATGACGTCATAGGTTGATGAAACAGCGCAAAAAGGTATAAAATATGAATTTTTTCCGTTACTTCTGGGACGCACTGTATATGCGATGTTCAGTTGCTTTTCTTTTTAATGAATTTTTGAATATTCAAAGGACTGTACAATTTTTATATGAAACTTTCTCCTTACGTCAAAAATAAGAATATTATCGGAATGATCATTTTCGTCGACAAACCTTGTAGGTACCTATAGTTTACAAGACACTCTTAAAATACCTAATTACTTGAAACAGAACATCAATTTTAACAAACTTTTATGATTACCTAAGTTAAAAGTTGGTAAAAAGTAATTTACAGTATATTTACGAACTTGGAGATTTACTTTTAATGAGAGATAGGTCTTGATAAAAGATGGCAATTGCTAAAAATTTACCTTAGTTTTCTGGAAATGTAAGAAAATATTTTTTAATAATACACACCATTGTCGAGCCATTATTCGAGGGCCGGTAGTTTATTTAAACTCTGTTTTATTGACGGTTATTACTATTTGGTACAATGTCTGAAACAAAGTCTTCTCGACTGACTGACTCTTATTACTTAAATCTTTGAGGCACGCATTTTTCACAAGAACGCGGTGAATCTGTGATATCAGAAATGCTTCTTGCTCAATGCTTAGTTGACAGCTATCATATCGATGCTTTGCAAATGAGAATGAATTGGTTTTTCGAGAAAGTAATTTTTGAGGGTTTTGGGAGTGGGAATTTCAAATTTGACGTTGAAAATAATTCTTGACAGTCAAAGTAAAAAGGAATCGATATTGTCAAAATAATAATTCTGAAGAGGCATTTCTGATGTCAAATTCATATTCGGTAATACCAAAAAACCTTTTACCTTTCTAAGGTCTCAAGTTACTTCGTCAATATGACACATTTTTGGCAGTTGTCAATTGTCAATTTGTATTTTTGACCTAGGATTCGTAATCAGCGACACAAAAAATCCCATAGTATACATTTTCAGAAGAAAATTCCTCAAACTCTCGTCAAAAATAATTTTTTTCCAAATTTGTTTATTTATAACATTAACATCTACTGACAGAGCCTCCTGGGCAATGGAGTAACGTTTCTGTATAGGTAGGTAACCTGAAAAACCTGAGGGTCAAGCCTGTAAGGTTTTATTGCATTCTGAGAAACTATTTCACAATAAAATAAATTGTTTTACTTTAAATCGTTAGAGATATGGTTCAGAATGTGTTATTTTCACCATATTTTACAAAGCAGGTAAATGAAAATTGACAATTTTATCCTACACTGCGGGTCTGTCGAAGCTTGAAATTTAAACCGAGCTATTTTATTTGTCCGACCAAGGCGGATAGTATGTGTCAAGTTCTCGCTTTTCGTTTTATGTGAAACGACGTGTTTATTCGCGCATGTTTTGAAATAAACTGATATATTTTTCCAGCTTCAAACTCCCACACAGTTTAAATCACAAAATACATATTACTTACTCGTATAACAATTTTAATCTATTATACGGGGTGTCATTGAAAGTGGAACCTTCCTTTTAACTAGCGTTTGTATTTTAAAAATAAATAGTTTAAAATTGCCTCAATACAACCTTTTTATGATCGAAATATTTACATTTAAAAAGATGCATGCTTGTTTTTTCATTTTGAAAACTAAGTTCAGTGCTGTTGGGTCTGTGAATAGGCAATCTGTGTTAGCACGTGTCTTAAATTTGAATTAGGTTAGTGTTAAATGGGTAGTATATATGACGGTGAATGCTAGCAAAATTCTGCAGAAGCATCTCATCCTAATGCAAAAATATTTCCCAATGAAGGGAGGAGTCAAACTATACCATTCTGTACATTGCCTCTAGGCAGGGGAAGAATTTTAGAAATTGTTAACCAGTTTCATACACAGTATGTTTCGACTTTATAACCCCAAGATCGTTAATGAGTTCGATTTTGTTCTTATAATAAAATGACGAAAACTTTTTACGAAAAGAGGTTTGGTGGACAAAGAGGACACGTAGTAAACTCTCATTTAAATCTTAGAACGGATAAGTTTTCTAAAAATTATCGATACTCAATTTTTATCATTTTTCTTTTGAATGCTTCTCTATAAATAAACATAATACTTAGATGAAAACTCCATTTTCGATGAATCTCTGTATATATAATGTACACTTAAACTTTTTTCAGACGAGACTTTTCGCAGGTTTTAAGTATACTTCTTTCACTCATGAAGTATTAAGATATTACGGTTCACCCGACGTTTCCCTTCTAAATAACTCATCCCTATTTGTCAAACAGAGAGATGGAAAGAGAATTGTGGCAGCGGAAATGTTTTTATCATTTTTTATTCATGATAAATGTACTTAAGTTCGGGGAAAATGCCGAAGGAAATTGTAGTGCATTTATATCTGTTGCATTTCGAACAAAATCGTTCAACGCTAATGACTGAATGAAAGAAAAAAATGCAGCTGTATATCTGTAAATAATTGGTCAGGTAGAAACAAAAAAACAGATACGTACATCAGTCTTTAGTCTAATGTACAGACATTTTTATATTATCTGTTTTGATACAAGAATCCTCATCATAAATTTATGAAAACTTGATTAAAACATGTCGCACTATTCATTTAATGATATTAGGTTTAAGTATAATTTCTCTGTAGCAAATTTTGGAGGTAGATTAATTATTTAAAGACGTAAATAGAATCAGTTACAGAAGCATAAAAAATGGTCTGTTCTATGGATAAAATCTATGATACCCTTTATATTTGGATCTCCAGAACCTTATTCTGCCATGAGAAATGCTCCATCATCGTCCACTCTGTTTGTAATTGGCAAAAACCATTTGGCCCTGGAAATAATTTGACGCATCATATTGGTGGGATTCATTACATACTTTGGGTATTTCAACCCTTGTAACTCTTCAACTTTGGATGAACACTAGAAAACACTAGGATTTCTTTTTCTCTTTTTTCCTTTCTCTGTTTTTAATATCTTATAGCAGTTATTTACTATAAAAGAGTAACTAAAAACCAGTGTATTCATTTATTGCAACTTTTAAGAGTTTGAGAGATTTTACATATCATATAACTTGCAGATAGACTACTTTGCAGGGCCTCAGTAGATTGTAGGGCTTCAAGAAGTAAAGGGTTCCTGGTATTCACTGTTTTTGGCGTATGTCCAAGGTAAGCCTGCGATATTGGGTGAGTGAGTACTGTCTGCCGTGGGTTAGGAATTTATGTTCATGCCTGCTATAAAGGGTGGATGGATCTGGCTATTCCGGAATGTAAATTTTAGTTTCTGCCTGATATCTGCCCAATGTAAAATTTTATCTGATTTTTAAGTTTTATAGGCGGTTTCGTGGTTTTCATCTACAGCTGAAAGGTTACAAGAGTTGGTTGAATCATTGAATACCCAAAATGAGCCTAACAAATAGGGTGTCAAGGTCTTCATTTGTGGAACAGACTTCTTTTTTGGCGTGTCTATGTTATTTTACAAAAAAGGGAATTTTTAGATATAAATTATAATACTTCTTCATCTATATAACAAGCATACTAAACATTGTTGCAGGTATACTATCTGCTTATGGCATGGCCCTAGCAGACGTGGTTCAAGAATCCCAGGAACCTAGCGCAAAAACCTATTCGGAGGAACACTTCAGTTATTTCGATGAGCGCTTGGACTTTTTGGAAGAACAATGCAAGGCAGAATTAAGAAGACAAGGTTTTTCCGACGACCATATTGTCTTGGAACCCTACTTACACATGAGATATGACGGTACTGATTGCGCACTGATGTGCAGCCCTTCAAAGACTGTATCCGAGGGTACAAAGCATGGAGATTTTATGAAAACCTTCGTTGGAAGATATAAGTCTGAATTCGGGTTTATAATTCAGAAGAGAAATGTAATTGTGGACGATATAAGAGTGAGGGGCATCGGAAAGAGCGATCTAGAAGAGGAGAGTTTTATTCCTTCATCAGAATCACTCCCTGGGGCTGTTTCCACCACTGAAGTGTTCTTTGAAGATGGTTATAGACCCACAAACGTTTTCCTTCTTAAGGATTTGAATGCTGGTCAAACTATAGTTGGACCAGCTATCATCATGGATGCGTTGAGCACTATTTTGGTGGAGCCCGATTGTAAAGCCTTCATAACATCAAGAGGAGATATTAAGATTACCATTGGCAGTGGGAAAGTGAAAGAGATTGGCCCTGAACTAGATTCCATACAGCTGAGTATCTTCAGTCACAGGTTCATGAGTATTGCAGAGCAAATGGGAAGGTAAGGAAAATCATTCTCATGTTATCTAGAATGTAATAGTAATGTTACGATAAGCTTTCGGGACAGATTCCTTTTGACACAACAAACATTTATAATTTTACTTAAAAAATATACCTTTTTAGTAGTGACGTCACATACGCCAAATAATAGGCAATCCGATAGTGCATATTGTCATGAAGAATTTCTCAATATTTTTACTAGATCGATTTTCGATCTTATGTACTTTAGACCAAAAAAATAACTTTTTTGTTATGATCCTAAATATCGCGATATTCTGGCAATATTAGAAATATTTAAGAAGTTTCAAACACCACGTGACAAATTAATAGAATTATAGGATTTATATATTTAAATTTATAGAACAATATTGACTTTTATAATAATTAATAAATTAAAATTATATCAATGTTACTGAGCATGCGCATTAAAGATAATCTCATGTAAGCGAAGTAGCCTCGCAACAGGATATCATACAAGAAAAGTTTGGTTGTGGTTAAGAGTACGTATATAATAAACCACTTCAAAAAAAAACACTCGATAAACACACTGTCACAGTACCTACAACATCAAGAAAAACAATAAAAATACTTAGTAGAACTAGAAAATGCCAAGATTCATGCCAAGGGTCAGATTCGGTCTTTACAATTTCAGCTACGACAATTTGTTGCGGGTTGCCTAAATATGTGACGTCACACTAAAAGAGTCTATTCCACAGGACTGTATGATAATTAGGTATTCAAGAAGCAGCAGATAAACTGTTGACTATAATTTATATAATAAATATGGCTGCAATTTTTGTTATATATTATCTATAAATTTTATTCAGTGTTATATTTATCTTTATTACAATTTTGTAAAATAAATTCGCATTATATTTTGGAATTTGAAAAATCGGAGGAGTTTTAACTATTAAATAAATGGCATACTCAACAAAAAAAATATACAGGGTGTGGCGCGTATAATCTATAAAAATTAAACTACAACTTCCTGATGATATTTGTAATAGAACAGTCTTATACGAAAAAGTTCTATCTTCGCGTTTTTTTTTGTAAATTAAAGTTCATTTATTCAACGAAAATGTAAGCCGACCCTGTGTTATTTATTAAAAACTTTGGAAATGTTTTTATGCGACCCGAGTTGTAACTTTATAATTTAAGTCGGTATAATCTAATACTAGCAATACTAAAAGAAAGTTAGGTCACATTGTCAAAAAATTTGTGCAGTCAACTGAATTCATTATTCACTTAATTACTACATAAGCATCGTCCATTGACCCATCAGTGCTAAAATGTGAAAGATTCCAGACAAAAGTTTTTATTTTGTAATTCCACGATAGGACAGTGTAATTTTTATAAAGAACTAAAAAATAAGAATAGCGGTCCGATTACATTAAAAACGAGATTCTTATTTCTTACTTCGCTTAATTTTTTAGTTTGTGCACAAACCAGTTTTACAATGAACCGAGAAGATAATCCATTTATTATTTCCGAATGCGCTCGCGGCGACTAGATTGTACCGGGAACGATAGCCACAACGTTACCCCCCATGTGCAAATACAATCCTATAGTGCGTTCAGCGGCTGCGAGATACGGGAAGTGTTATTCCTCGAGGAGAAAACGTGATCAGCAAGTGAATTTTAATGTTGTAGATGCAGTATTGGAAAATCTTGACGAAGACCCCACAATTAGTACTCGACGACTTGCACAGCAAGTAGGTACCTCATCTCGTACCGTACATCGCATCTTAAGGCGCCAGCTGTTACACCCCTATCATCTGCAACCAGTTCAACAGATTTTATCCCCGGATTGTGATCAACGAATGCGTTTTTGCAGATGGTTTTTACGGCAATGTGCCAATCAACTTTCCTGCTTATGTTTGTGTAACAGATAAGGCGACATATACCCATGATGAAGTGAATTTCCATAATATGCACATATGGACCGATGAAAATCCTCACGCGATTAGGGAAAATCATTTTGAACATCGGTTCTCGGTAAATGTTTGGGATGTCATAATAGGCGATGTACTTGTGGGTCCCTATTTCTTTGAAGGACTACTAAATGGACCAACATATGCTGACTTTTTGGGGAACCGGTTGCCTGAATTTTTGGACGATGTGGCATTACAAGTTCGGGCACGCATGTTTTATCTTTAAAATGGGGCTCCTCCACACACAGTACTCGAGAAGTAACGACACTTTTGAATGAAACGTTTCCTCAGAGATGGATTGGACGCCTTGGTCTTTTGCCGTGGCCACCTCGGTCACCCGATCTAACTCCAATGGACTTTTATTTTAGGAGTCACTTGAAGTCATTGGCTTTCAATACTCCAATTGCTACGGTGGAAGAATTGCGAAACCGTATACTTGAAGCTACTGAGACAATTAGGGGAATACCTAGAATTTGGGAAAATATTCGCCAAAATTGGGTGCGTCGGTGCCATGCCTGTATCTGCGCTAATGGGGATCAATTTTAACATTTTCTCTAGAAATTGTAAGTTTTATTTCATTTTGTTCCATATTTTAATGTGGTTTTCTTTGCAAACTCTTGCAGTAACAACAATGGATTTGAGATAGTAATTACTATTAATTATTATAATAAGAAAATATCAGTTTTTTTAAATATGTTTTTCTTAGTTTGTACTTTTGCATTGAAAAATTCCCCAAAAATAGGGAAGTATCTTTCTATCTTTCAGCGACGGCTGGTCTACAGCACGTATACTTAAGACTTTTCTATTACAAATATCGTTAGGAAGCTGTAGTTTAATTTTTATAGATTATACACGCCACACCTTGTATACGCATAACAGTTTTGATTGGAAATGGTCTTTCATTATATCAACTCTGATAGTTCTAAATTCTGAATTTCGTCGCTCTTACATTCCTACGATTAAGAAGTATTTTATTAAAAGTCACAGAAGTAATATAAACTGGAAAGTATTAAACTAAAAATATTCACGCCCTACTCATAACGGATGTAAAGAAAATTTTCCGAATAGATGACCAAACCTTCTAAAAGTTCAGCTTAAATTATTTTAAATAAAGCATTTGCGATTTCCGTTCCCAGACACGTTTCCAACTAATCCAACTGGACAATTCGCCCGGTTCAAAAATTTCTCGCAGAGAGAACATTTTGTTACGAACTTTAAAAACCTTTTACGGCCCATTCAGGAATAGGAACAGAAAGGTTTCAAAGGGGCCACTGCGGCCTAAAGGGTTTTGGCGACAGTCTTTTGTGCCCCGTTTTGCAGACTAATGGGTAGAGGTTGAATATATTTTCAGAAAGATGTACTCTCACTTGATATGTGATAAATAAATATTACTTTTAGTCGCGGACACGTTTTGTTCTACATATATTAGAAAGAGGCCGAAAGGAATACAAGAATAAAATAAATAATAAACATAATTTGTGAACAACAGATTAGAACTGTATCTCGAATGTCTCATTTGATCTTAAGGAAACGATATCCATGGGAGGACACGAACATTTTTTATTTTATTGCGATTTTCACACTTTTGAGTATTTCCATCCATGACATATTCTCATAAATAACCGTGTAACTGCGCAGCAAAATAACAAGATGTAATTCAGGCTCCTTCATTTATCGTTTGTGAGATTATCACCGTGAAAATTCTTCGCTGTATGCTTTTCTCTATAAAAATGTCTTTGTGCATACTTCCTTTTTTCATATAAAAGTGTTCTTCGTACCGGTAACGACGTGTACTTTTTTTCAGGATTCTCCAGAGGACGTCCATATCAACGAACATCAAAGAGCGTCTGGATTTCTCGTGCGCCTTGTTCGGCGCTGACGGTGGTCTGGTCTCCAACGCGCCGCACATTCCGGTGCACTTGGGCGCCATGCAGGAGGCCGTGCAGTATCAAATGAAAGCCAGGAAGCGTTTCAAGGAAGGAGATGTGATCCTGACCAACCATCCCGGAGCCGGCGGGTCACATTTGCCCGATTTCACAGTCATAACGCCCGTTTTTTACAAGTGAGTTGGCTGGAATGCTTTGCTGACGCTCTCTTATGGAAAATAATATAATTTATAAATACAGGGTGGATGTGTTGGGATATCCAACAATTCGTTTTTTCATTTTCGTAGTTGAAACATATAAAAGTGTGCCATTTTGTTCTCTCATGTATTTATAAAGAGATATATGAACACAACATTTTAATCGAAATTTTGCTTTGGCGTCTACATCAGATAAAAAGTTTATAGAAGCACCTGTTTGCAAATGCTTCGTTTTAGCAATACATGGTGTTTAAGATTAATGAGGCAAATGAATTCCTATTCTGTTGTTTTTTTGTTTTAGAAATAACGTAAAATTTAACAGGGTGATTCACAACTTATCCAAAAAAAATTGGGAATGGATGCAGCATGAGAAATGGAATCAATATCGTAAAAAAATTTTTGTAAAATCCTTATAGTTTCCGAGAAAAAAATATTGAAGTTATAGTACATTCAACCACTACAGTGCTGGACAACTGTAGTTTCTAGCGTCATTCGCCACGTGGCATCAGCGACTCCGAATACTGAATTCGGATTTTGCAATCGTCGTTGCGATATTTACTTGCTATCTGTGGTGTTTACAACAGGTTTTTAGAAGTTAGTGTCAAAAATGGGTAGTTTGTGTCAAAAATGGTTTGCGTGTACTCGGAGTTGATGGATATCGTTTTAATTTATGGTGAAGCATTTGTGTTATGGTGAAACAAGACATCATTTGTGTTAGTTCGTAGAAACTGAGTAAGACGGACCCAAATGTGTTTACA